GCTGTGTCGCGACCAGTGTGGCCAGATCGGGCATAATTGAGTGCATCGAAATCGACAACAGTGACGACGAACTTCCTTAGCGTCTAACGGAATGGTGGGGATAGCAGGCATACACTACCGCACGAGCCACGTGTACGTGAGCTCGGCACTTCGCACAACTTCGGCAAATCGATAAAGAACGCTAGTGTGAGCCTTTCCTTCTTGCTCTTGTAAAAGACAAAACAACTGAAATACGACCTCGCGATAAGTGGCATACGATTCCAAGTCTCGACTGCACCAGCATTTTTACTTTCCGACCTATATGTAAGGTATAAGGAAATTTATAAAGTATCATAATGAAAAAAAATTTTGAAGTTTTTTTTTAGCGGAAATACACGTTTTAGGACCCCCCTGATCATATTGTGACTATCGAAAAAAAAGACATTTTTTTTGTTCCTCAACGACTAACAATAAGTGAATTGCAATAACGAAAAAAATATTTCGAAATTTTTTTTTAGCGGAAATACACGTTTTAGGACCCCCTCATCATATTGTGACTACTACAAAAAAACATATTTTTTTTTTGTTCCTATGCTATTGACATGATTGCGTCTAAACGGCTGAATGAATTTCAATGAAACTTAACATTTAAGTTTTATGTTCTCGTTTTAAGGTCTCATTATATTTTAAGCGTGATCAGCTCCCATATAATGATGATTATACGGTTTTAGTTTTATAATTATTTCGATACATACACATCATTTGTAACAAATTTTTAAAGCGATTTATATAAATCTTAAGAAGGATTAAGATCAAATATATTTTTCTCCTATCTTTCCTAGACAGGAAAAATTAAACGAAATCTTATGCCTTGCATACCTACCTAAACCACATAAAAAACGTATTCCACAAATATTTTAGAATAATGTTGTTCAAAGCAGTCTTACTCGTAAAGGGTTAATTAAGGGTTAATTAAAATGAAAAACCACTCTTAGCCAGTACCGTGCACGCTACAGAAATAGATTACTACTGACTTTTCCCACTATGTTTTTTAATAACCGTATCAAATTGTTACACACAATCAAATGTTATATATTTGACTTAACTTTACATAACAAAATAATTGTAACGATAGGTAAAAGAATAACGTGCACGCTACCGTTCAATGGAAACCACGGGAAGGTGGTGGTCACTTCCATCAGGAGGGAAATGTAAAAAATTGTTATTTCTTTGTAACATTATCACATGCCGTATATTAAAATGTTTTTATTAATGTAATGAAATTACAATATAATGAAAAACTAACTCGTGAATGCATTAATTTTTATTAATATACACACGAGCCATAAAAATGGAAAAATGATATAATTGTTTACATTTCCAAAGGATGGGATGTCGGGATAGGACGTTTGCGATTAAGCTGGCACGTTATGTCGTGCATTGTTGCTCTTACGGTACCGTGACGTAAGTGTAACAAGGCGCGACATTCTACGTCATAGCCACACTATCTACAGCAAGCAATTTCACTAACTAAAAATATACGGCAAAATATAAGCAAATAAATGAAGAAAGAAAATGATAGTTAGAGCAAGCAGAATAGTATTTACAGCAAGCGAAATACGTAAAAAAAGTAACAACGCGAGACAAATTGAACGACTATTTACATATTAGCGATGTCCAAAAAAAAATATTTTGGACATCACTAACAAGACTGCGGTTGCAGTGTAAGCGCTTTCGCGTGACGTTATGGCACATACATGCATCACACCTTGTTGCGCCTACGTCACGGTACCGTTGACGTAACAAGACCAGTCTACCGCGACGTCGCATGAAAACGTTTATACTGTCATTGCAGCCTAATAGTACGAATTTACTAAAGAGCTTTTCTCTGGAGAGAAAAATCTCTCTAGAGAAAAGCTCTGTAGTAAATCGGTACCTTAATTTTCGTCATATGACGTAGCGGGAAAATTCTCAAAGTTATTGTCATATGTTGCGTTTAATCTTAAATTACACTTTTGCTTCTTAGCAAATCTATGATATAAATTTTTGGAATACAATAGAGCTAGATGATCGTCATCTACCTCCATGGGTTGAGAGTTTTCCCTCTGCGCCTTTAACGAAGATTTCACAACGCAAATAGAGTTGACGCTGGCCGAAGAAAGTTTATTCCGTTTCTTTGTTTTTATGTCAGGTAACATGGAAAACAATCTTTCTGCATCGGCATTGGAATTTGGAAGTGATCTAATTGTATTTACTAATTTCATCAATTCAGGAAATTTAATTTTATAGTCCAAATTTCGCGTTAATAAAATTGTTTTCCAGAAACCATCGAATTTCATCTCGATAAGCGTCTGTCTACCTTTCGTTGTAAATTCCAAAGGCAATACTGACCATTCTGTTTGCAGTCCTTCTTCGTCGAAACCGCCGAATTTCTTAGCGATTAAGAGAACATTTCTGAAGGAAATGTCTCTATTTGTATCATTTAATATAAAAGTTGGTTCAAAAACATACAACATGCTAAGAAATTCGTTTGCAGCTGTAATATAAAACATTAAACAATTTTTCCTTACGGTTTCTACGATGTCGGACTTGCCTTCTGCATTCAGTTGATGCAGAAAATTAAGACACTCTGTTCCTAAATTTATACTATTAAATGGAAGTTGATTTTCGACTACAGAAAAATTCATCATTCTTACTAAATCCATGTGTTTCAAAAGCTGCGGTTTCAGAAAATTGCGTAATATATCGCATAAAAGTTCTGCCGCAGTCTTTTGAAGCAAATGAATTCTTGTCTCTTGAGTTTGACAGAAAATGCTAAATTTATAAAAAAACTCAAGAGCGTAATTTAGAAAATAAAGATATGCTTTGGCCTCTGGATTTTGCATCGAGATTAACAGACGTTCCCCGGACTCTGATTTCTCGCTTATTGTCAATTCTTGCAAAAAAAGCAATACAGACTCCCAATTCTCTAAAAGTGTAACTACGGATGTATAATGCGATAACCATCGCGTAGATATAGCCCAGTTCCCATAGGTTTTTAAAAGGCAATAATTAGAAATAAAGTTCTATTGACTGAATAGCAGTACATATATAGACGTCAATTTAATATATTTCATTTTGCAGAAATGAATTAAGAGGGGAATCAAAAAAAAAGGAAAGAAGAATATAGACGTTCTAATATATGGCATGTGATAATGTTACAAAGAAATAACAATTTTTTACATTTCCCTCCTGATGGAAGTGACCCCCACCTTCCCGTGGTTTCCATTGAACGGTAGCGTGCACGTTATTCTTTTACCTATCGTTACAATTATTTTGTTATGTAAAGTTAAGTCAAATATATAACATTTGATTGTGTGTAACAATTTGATACGGTTATTAAAAAACATAGTGGGAAAAGTCAGTAGTAATCTATTTCTGTAGCGTGCACGGTACTGGCTAAGAGTGGTTTTTCATTTTAATTAACCCTTAATTAACCCTTTACGAGTAAGACTGCTTTGAACAACATTATTCTAAAATATTTGTGGAATACGTTTTTTATGTGGTTTAGGTAGGTATGCAAGGCATAAGATTTCGTTTAATTTTTCCTGTCTAGGAAAGATAGGAGAAAAATATATTTGATCTTAATCCTTCTTAAGATTTATATAAATCGCTTTAAAAATTTGTTACAAATGATGTGTATGTATCGAAATAATTATAAAACTAAAACCGTATAATCATCATTATATGGGAGCTGATCACGCTTAAAATATAATGAGACCTTAAAACGAGAACATAAAACTTAAATGTTAAGTTTCATTGAAATTCATTCAGCCGTTTAGACGCAATCATGTCAATAGCATAGGAACAAAAAAAAAAATATGTTTTTTTGTAGTAGTCACAATATGATGAGGGGGTCCTAAAACGTGTATTTCCGCTAAAAAAAAATTTCGAAATATTTTTTTCGTTATTGAAATTCACTTAGTCGTTTAATGCATTCATGTTAATAGCATAGGAACAAAAAAAATATCGTTTTTTTCAATAGTCACAATATGATCAGGGGGTCCTAAAACGTGTATTTCCGCTAAAAAAAAACTTCAAAATTTTTTTTCATTGTGATACTTTATAAATTTCCTTATACCTTACATATAGGTCGGAAAGTAAAAATGCTGGGGCAGTCGAGACTTGGAATCGTATGCCACTTATCGCGAGGTCGTATTTCAGTTGTTTTGTCTTTTACAAGAGCAAGAAGGAAAGGCTCACACTAGCGTTCTTTATCGATTTGCCGAAGTTGTGCGAAGTGCCGAGCTCACGTACACGTGGCTCGTGCGGTAGTGTATGCCTGCTATCCCCACCATTCCGTTAGACGCTAAGGAAGTTCGTCGTCACTGTTGTCGATTTCGATGCACTCAATTATGCCCGATCTGGCCACACTGGTCGCGACTGAACTGACAACAGTGATAACTAACTACGCAATAAACCGCAGTACCGCACTCTCTCGTTCGGCGGCGCAATAGATTGAACGCGGTAAATTTAAATATAACACTACCATTACTTTTATTGGTATCAAATATTAACGTTGACTGTAAAGTATTCTTAATGTACATTCAAGCTCTCTTAATTACTTAACAAAATACTTAATTGACATAGTTTTGATAACGGTTTACATTTGATACACTAGTGCATGAAATTCATGCCATTTTAATCCTAGCCAGATTTTTCTAGTTGTAAGATAGCGCCTCTAACGATCAAACCCTCAACCAATACACACGATTTGAAGAAAAACGTAAGTATGTACAATATACGCCAGATAATATGGGGTCAATTAAATTAACAAATTACTTAGTAGATATATGACAAACAATATTAATCTTATACGATCGAAAACGATCATAAATCGTGTGTATTAGTTTGAGGGTTTGGTCACTAAAGGCGGTATCTCACGACTGTAAAAATCAGACTCACAGTAGACTTGCCCATCAATGTTTTTCTTGTGATTTCTACCCTATGTAACTTATTACTATACATGCTATAGTTCAAAGATGGCGTCTACCGTTAGTTGTTACGCTTTTTCCTCCGACGGTGATTATTTCGCGCATTGTGGAAACGATGGAAAATTAAAAATTTGGGATACCTTCACCAGCCGTTTAAAGCAAGAATATGTTTCAAATTTTCATCTGTCCTCTCCATGTTGCATTTTGGCCTGGCTTTATGTCAACACTTCGTCAACAAATGCTACGGTAAACCATGTGCTTTTTTTATTCTACATTACAATAAATCTTCACTATTCTCTGAATCTATTCTGCGTATCATTATATATATAAATTAAGTTAAAACCTCTCGTTTTCAATCAAGAATACCCATATTACTTTCCTACTTCTTCCACTAATGTTCCATTTTATAGATATTGAGGTTAGGTTCTTAGTACAATTTATAATTTTGTTTAGATTTACATAAAAATTAACTCTGAGGATAAATTTCTATTTTTGGAATATTTAAAATAAAATAATTTCGTTGAAAAATGTATCTGTGATTCTAGAATTTAGTGACATTTCTCAATTTTAATTCTAATTTTTGTTTAATTACCGAAATAAACAATCTATTGGGAGAATTTGTGAAACTAATATATTTTTTGTTATCTTTTTGCAAAATTGGATTAAGAATTAAATTAAATTCTCCACTATGCAACTTTCATAAATTTATGTAAAAATATATTGGTAATCTATTTTTTCCATAGTATCTTCTTGTATGCTATTAACCCTTTCTGGATGAGGTTTTACATTTACTATCATCATTTCATTTAATGCAGCAATAGTTTGTTTATATAATATTGAAGTGTGCTAAAGAGACAATGACTTTTATTGTAAGTCAAACATGTGTAACTCAATATTTTTGAAACTGTATTATTTTTATTTAGTGCAATATGTTTTAAAACATTTATTTACACATAAACCTATTGTTTATCATCTACAGATTTACAAATTTCAGTGCTTTACCAAGTAGGTACCCATACTCTTATTTTTTTCAGCCACATACATGGCATCTTATTCTTTTCTTTATTTTTAATCTTTAGTTCTAGATAAAATGGTATACACTTAGTTTAAGTAAAAAATAGTACCAAAATTTTAATATTATTGTATGGCCAATAACTTCCATATTACTATGTCAAATGCAACAATTTTTATGGTGTAGAATAATAAAAGTACCATTTGGTCCCATCCATATAATACATATTGTTGTTATAATCAATAACTGTTAATTTTACACTTAATTTTTATCCTTTCATTTTTTGTAATTATTCATAATGAAGTTGTAGAAATTTCAAGATAATCCATCAGTGAAAAGTTATCAAAATGGTAAATAAAAATTATATTTTTAGGAGTGAGATTTAAGAAATTTTGTTAACCAATGTCCATTGTCATAATCATACTAAAAAAAACATACGAATAAAATTTGAATTAACTCCAACCCCATTCGAAACATAGCACCATCTCTATTTTTTTCTACCGGCTGAAGTATCGAAGTATACAGGGTGTTCGGCCACCCCAGGGAACAATTTTAATGGGAGATTCTAGGGGCCAAAATAAGACGAAAATCAAGAATACCAATTTGTTGATCGAGGCTTTGTTAAAAAGTTATTAACGTTTAAAGTTCCGCCTGTAGAACGGCAATCTGCGAACAGCTGCGCACGCATGATAGTGGTTCTCATTCACAAAACTGTAAGACTGTCGATACGTCAGTAAGTAAAGTTTCTCACGTTAAATGAGAACCACTATCACGCGCACGCAGCTGTTCCACAGACGGAACATTAAACGCTAATAACTTTTTAACAAAGCCTCAATCAACAAATTGGTATTCTTGATTTTCGTTTCATTTTGGCTCCTAGAATCTCCCATTAAAATTTTTCCCCGACCGAACACCCTGTATACAAAGTTTCGTATCCTTTACTTTTCCATCCTCTCCCTTTTTTGTAAATATTAAAAAAAGAAGATTGAAGAATGAAAAAATCTTATGGCTATGTACAAGTATAACTATGTTTATACATAACATTCTAGCCTTCACCATGGAAAAAACGCAAAAAGAAGTCAATTTCAGAGGAATCCAATTCCAAAGGGATTGTTGCAATGGGTTCTACAAACGGGAAAATCACGCTTTATGACACAACATCTTCAGTCACTACTCAGCTGGATGGTCATTCCGGTACAGTTACCGCGGTGACGTGGTCTGAAAATGTTGGTCTATTCACTGCAGCGGATGATCACCACATTATTCATTGGAACCTTAAAGAAAATGGAATAAAATACAAATGGAAATCCGGGAGAGGAAAAACAACGTCTTTGGCCCTCTCTAAGGATGGGGATAGTTTACTGTCCGGGGAGAGAATTATTAAGTGGTGGGATCTATCTACGAGACAATTAGTCAGAACATTCACGGGCCATGCTAATCAAATAACATGCCTTTGTACTCTTAAGATGCCATCTGGAAGCAATTATGTAATTAGTGGAGCTTGTGGCGATGGCTGCCTTAATGTTTGGGCTTTAGACGAAGTAAGAAATTTTTCATTGCTCTAAACATCACTAGTGACGGTTACTGATGAACTTAATAAAGAAACTGATACTTCAAAACTTTAGAATAATTTTGAGGATTTTGAGGAAATTTAAATAGATTATAGTTCTTCAATAAATTTTATTTCCCCGAAATCGGCGCATGGCGCTTAAAAGTGATGTTCCTCGTTACTAATTATGAAAAATCTTTGCAGAATAAAAACGATAGATCCCCCGCGACAAGCTTAGCTTTACAGGACGACGCAACAAGCGTTTCTGTAAATGTCTCTGAGGAGTCGGAGGTAGTTGTTCTGGCAGTGACTAGATCAGGACAAGCACACTTATTTCAGTATCAACCAAACGGTCGCACAAAACCGTTGAAGCCTAGCTTAAATATTGCAGTAGCTTCCGACGTTAGTCCGAAAGACACTGTCCAACAAATTCCTATCTTAGATGCAAAACTAACAAGAGAGCAAACGTTGCTCTTAACGTACGGTACATATCTGAATCCTACATTCGAAAGAGTGACTCCAGATTTCTCTGATAAAGTGCAATGCCTGGTGCGTTCAGAGAATAGGAGAAACAAAGACAGAAAAGATGAAATTTCTAAGGTGAAGACTCCCTTAATTGAGGATAATGTTGAGTACCTTGCACCGGGTATGTTATTGAATTTCATTAGTTTTGTAATTTTCCATTTATTCCTTTGTCCATAACAGCTCATTAATGAAAAATTCTCAAGAATACTTCTAAATGGTATTTATTCAACTTAGAAATGAAGGTTTGTTGAATTTATTTAACATAGGAATAATTGGAACCACAACAAAACGGGATAGGAATAGCAGTTCAGGATCACAATTATTATTGAAAGACAGATTGGAAAACCTCAGCTTAAATGGTGAAAGCAGCCCTGCTGGAAAAACTACTACCTCAGGTAGCAATAGAGCACAACTTTTAATTCAAGGCTTGAATAGTAAAGACAAGACTATTCTGACCAATATTTTTCTCACAAGAAACGAGTCCATTATTAGGAACTCTATTGCTAAACTACCAATACAGGCGATTGGACCATTACTCAAAGAGCTAACCATCTTGCTCCAGGGTAAAACTTACGCGTAAGATTTCCATGAATCAATTAGTTTTTATTAAGTTCAGTATGTCTGTTATATTATCCACTTCTAGAGAAATATTTTTACCAAAAAATTTTAATTTCATTTTACGTACGTTTTACTTATTACTGTCGTTATATTGTAGGAGCAAAGTTGCGGTGAGATGGTTGGAGGCATTATTGATGACACATGCGGGTCATTTTTTGTCACAAGCCGATCTTATGCAATCGTTTGGTGCAATTTTGAGTTTAATAGATGCCAAATTGGCTCTCTTGTCGGAGCTCTCGAAACTTAAAGGCCGCATATCTCTCGTTACTGGCCAAATTTCTCAGACAACCGAAGAGCACCACAAGGACGTTGATGAAAACTGTCTTGTCTATCAGGATTCAGGTTTGTACTAATTGTTCTGTTTTTAAACCATTTGAGAATATACGTTTCCTTTTATAACTTCTAATTTGAATTTTATTGAACCCGAAACATACACAGATTCCTCTGACGAAGATGGCGGGATAGAAGATGAAGATATAGAAAGCGAATCTGATGAAAATTGGGAAGAAATGTCTAATCAGGAAGACCAAGATGATCAAGAGGAACAGAATGACCAAGATGTTAGAAGTACGAATTCCGATAACGAAGATGAATCTATATCCAGTTAATTATTAATTTAGGTAAATTTTGCGAACAAAAGTAGTGGAATAAGTGATAAATTATATATACTATGAAACGTTTTTATAAATAATTATATAACAAAATTTTAATTTTGTGTTCCTTTCCAGTAAATATTCAAGTTCCTGGATATATAAAATATGAAAAAAAGAGAGAAATGAAATGTTAAATAAATGATGTTTTTTACACGAATTATTGTCATTACATTATCTGCACCATTTGTTTGTAGTTATACCTTAAATTTGTTTTTCTAATTTTCAATCATTTTACGACTGGAATTCATGTCTAGAACATTTGACATTTAATATTCAAAACAAATAGCAGAATTTATGTTACATAGGAAATGTTGAAGATAATGAAAATAATTTAAAATTTGTAGTTTCTATTATTTTTAATATTATTATACTCTGTTAGCGATGTTAAGATGTGTAAATAAAATTTTCTTCAAAAGTTTATGTCGTTTTTGAACGTCCGCGCCCTTTGGTATGCACCTGTCACAACCGGACTTAATCCAATAAATTATTACAGTTTTGAGGTTAGGTGAGCGTATTAGAAGTTCTATGTCGCTTGACAATTTGTCCAAAAAATAGCAGTCGTGGAAGATTTTATTAATTTTTTTTAAAACAGTGATATTTGATTGAACGTAATCATTCAGGTGCTTCTAAAAGAATTTATGTACTATGGTAAGGAAAATAAGATTTAATAAAAATTATTTACCATAGGTTAGAAGTTACCTTTTCAATAGATTTTGAATATACGAATATAAACCGAAATTTAAAAAATATTGTTTTTAAAGAGAATATAAATTAAGTAAAGAAGAATATAAATTAAAATGTGTATTATAAATAAAAATACATAATATAATTCATTACTGATTTCTTATATCATTAGTAATGTTAAAATATGTATAACTCCTTTTTCAGTCAAATGTAAAACACGACATTGACCTTCCAAATACAATTTCTGACCTGCTATTAGAAAAACATGTAAAGTTTTTACTGTCTTATGGTGCTGATAAGGATGAATATGTAAGTATGATGATTTCTTATCTATCTACATAGAGAATAGGTATATACAATATAATTATTAAAGTTAGCCTAGTAATATAGGAGGGATTGATATCACTAAATAATACTGAAAACAGAACAAGATCAACACAGACCATTCCTTTTTTCTTGTAATGGTTTGTGTTGGATTAGTTCAACTATGTATGACAAATATGAACAACTAACAAAAACATAAAAATATGCTAGATATATTGTACAACGGAACACTTGAGGATGTCTGGTATGTACTGGGGTCTAACAGCACTAGATCTTATGGGCAAACTGGACCAAACCAACCGGAACGAAGTCCTTGAATTTATAGCCCAATGTCAAACAGAAAGTGGTGGAATTGCATCCAGTTTACAACATGATCCACATCTTCTCCACACATTAAGCGCAATACAAATACTTTGTATCTTTGATGCTCTTGATGTTATAGATGTGGAAAAAGTTGTAAAGTATGTAAAAGAGAGACAACAACCAGATGGGAGTTTTACCGGTGATATGTGGGGTGAAGTTGATACAAGATTTTCATTTTGTGCAGTGGCAACTTTATCACTTTTAGTTAGTAATAGATATAATGTAAAAATTTTAACTAATTTTACCAAACAAGCAGACTCGAAGTAAAATGGAGGAACATTGTTTTAGAATCGATTGGATGCTATAGACGTTAATAAGGCTGTTGAATTTGTGATAAAATGTATGAATTTCGATGGTGGGTTCGGGTCAAAACCAGGCGGCGAAAGCCACGCCGGTATGATCTACTGCTGCGTGGGACTTTTATCGATAACTGGTAATTCGTTTCTACGGGGACAAGAATTTCGAGGTTATTATAATAAAATAATGTTTTTAGATTGCCTTAGTTTGGTAGACGCGGATCAGTTAGGTTGGTGGCTTTGCGAACGGCAACTTCCCTCTGGCGGTTTAAACGGAAGACCAGAAAAAGCGCCCGACGTTTGTTATTCTTGGTGGGTTCTTTCGGCGCTTACTATACTCGGGCGTCTTCATTGGGTTAACAAGGAGCAATTGGTATGTTTCCAAAACGAAATAATTTCTTTTGCGCGGTGATTAATTAATTAAATTGTTCTCCGTGAAAGTAGACACCGCGGCGGTAGTCTTTGATTAGTCTTGAATGTTGTAGAGTAGGTTGTTTTTAAGGCCTGTATGTTAAAACGATTGTAACGATGGACGTTAGGAAGAAATTTAAGTTGAACTGTTACACCGTGACTAAGGCTGTGCGGGTAGCCCGAAACCCGGATTGGAACTGACAAGATTGCGACGGATTTGTTTCGGGATCATTCGGGACAATTCGGTCCGAACTCGAAATCTACCGAGCTCCTCTCCAATTCGCCGATCTCTTGACAGCTCGAACCCGTATTTCGGGCTACCTAGCTGCTATAAATTATGCTACTCAACATTGATTAATTACTCATAATTTAAACAAAGGAAAACTAGAGGAAATTTATTAAATTCATGCTAACATTGAATCGCAGGTAAAATTTGTACTAGCATGCCAAGACATGGAATCAGGAGGATTTAGTGATCGTCCAGGAGATGTTGCTGATCCTTTCCACACTCTTTTTGGATTAACAGCACTTTCTCTTTTAAATGCTGATTATCCTCTAAAAAGAATTAACCCTACATATTGCATGCCAGAATATGTTATCCAGAGGCTACGTCTCAAACCTTCAAGATTAGATCAAAGTGATTAACATTTTGTTTAAAAGGTTTGACCTTCTGTAAAATTAAGTTTCTATTAAATAATGCAAGAAAAAAAAAAAAATACAAAAAATCTTTTACACAAATTGTTTTATTTATTTCTTTATCTACAGATTTTTAATATTTTATAGTACTCTGTTAACAGCATATATTGTAATGTGTTATTACTACCAAAATATATGCTCAACGCAATTTTATGTAAATAAAGTACATTGTCGAACGTTAGTAAGGAAATATTGAATTAACACGTTAAACGCCATGTTGGTTCCCAAGGATCGACAGTATCACATTTAAAAAAAAATATATAATGTTAAAAAATACGTTACTACACATTGTTTTGCGTTTTACGTGTTAATGTGGAAATTATAAAACTCCTAACGACGATGTTATTTAAAGGAAACAACGAGGACTTTTTTAATTCATTGGAATAAAATTATGAAATCAATAAACCCTTATTAAACTATAATATTAATTCTCCAGCCGGCAGTTCTACGAAAATCGTGTCTAAATAATATATTTGCGATTATTTCGGAAACTAAGACCGAGCGGCGGTAAAATCAAAATCAAATCTATGATTCTAAATAATTAACACTTCTATTTTATCATTTTTTGCGAAAATAAACTAAAATGTACTAAAAGTACTTGGATAAAGAAGAAACTCTTGTTTGTACCGGAAGTTGGCTTCTGGTGCTCAACTACCGACCCGGTATTTCCGGTACTTTGTAGCAGTGTATCTCGAAAGACACTAGCGCACCAATATAAAGCGCGGCAATATTTAAAATGTAATAAATAAAATAAGTGAAATGCATATATAAAACGGTTTTTTCCCTATATGTACACTGGAAGATATTGTGTTTGTCGCAAAGTCATGGTGCATATATGGTGTATAATAAAACTGACGTTGTACATAGTTATTTCAAAACCCTTTCCTGTTTTAACCTCTTCATCTCACCCTTTATCGAGTTTTCGAAAACTTTTATATAATTAAAAAAAAACAAAATACATTTTCCGTCCTTATATATTTTAATAATGAATTGTACTATGGAATGTAGTTTTTAAATAAATTAATCATCATTTCCCAATCCTCAGTAGTCGTGTTTCATTGTTTCTGATTGCAATTCATGTAAGCTAATTTTATAATTGATTTCATCGTACTCTTTGCTAATAAACTAGAAACATTGTATGGCTGATATTCTGTATTCAATATAAATACTAATAAAATTAAGTTGAACGAATTTAATTCCCGTGCACGACCACTTTGTAAGCCATTGTATGTGGGTGGTGTCTACTAGCGCTATCTAGCGATGTGAATATAAATAAACGTACAACATAAACATGGCTTTCATACATTGGCAATAATATTTCTAGTAAAATAATTTTCTTCCATTTAGATAGTATGAATTTAACAACTTATATTAGACAAAATGTTCATATAAGAAAATATATAAATATAGAAATAATTGTGTAATATATTGATTAGAATAAATTTGTAAATAATTATACAGATACCATAAAATGCCTCATAATTCATTAGACACAGACTATTTAGTAAAGCAATTTCTTTGGTGTACTCCAATGAACATAATGGATTCAATTGTATGCGAATATTATACTGCAGCTACACATGGTTTATTAAAGTATAAACATTTATATATTACTTTCAGATCTCTGCACAAAATATTGGCTGCCTTGCTAATTTTAACAGACAAAAGGAAATTTTGGAAAAGACAGTAAATAATGAACTAATTAAAATGTATCCTGTGAAACGATCTTATCAACAAATGTTTTTGAAATTGCTTATGAGAAAGGTACGATATAAAACCTTAGTTTATATAAAAGAATACTCACCTATAAAATTTGATAATTATTCTTAATTCAGATTGAGGAAACAGGTGGTGAAATTCACGATGAGATGTATGCTGCATATTGCAATTTAATATCTTCACCATTAAATGAATGTATTCATTATCGACACTTTTTGATAGATGACAAAAGTTTGGATTATATAAGTATACAAGAACATGCAAATATTATATCGGAAGGTACAACAGGATTATGCTGTTGGCAGGTATTCCATTATTATTGTTAAATAAAATTATTTCTTTTTGTTACTGTAATATTTGCAATTTATAGGGATCGGTTGACCTAAGCAAATGGTGCATAGAAAACAAAAATGAATTTTCTGGGAAAGTTATCTTGGAACTTGGTTGTGGAGTCGGCTTCACAGGATTGTCTATTATTAAGAAATGTTCTCCAAAACAATATGCTTTCACAGACTGTCACGAAACTGTCTTAAAAATGGTCTCAGAAAATATCAAACTTAATTTATTACACGATAAAAACATAGTACAAATTAAACCAGAATTAAAAGCTGGTAGAATAAAGTTCCAAATGAAATATAATGATACAGATGTTGAAGTAATGGAATTAAACTGGGCAGATATTAAGGAATATTTAACAGAACATTGGATTCTACCGGATATAATAATTGGTGCTGACATTCTATACGAACCAAGTTCATTTCATATATTAGCATCTGGATTGAAGACTTTAGTATCATTTCATAATAGATATGCTATTATTGCAGCAACAATTCGTAATATGGATACTTTTTCACAGTTTCTACATCAACTAGGTATTGTCTCTAACCGACGAAGAAGCTAATTTTTATTTTAGATAATACTTAATAAAATTAATATTTCTTCCTTTTCTTTTTAGAACTACATGATCTCTCTTGGGAAGAATGTAGTACACCAGAGGGAACAATCCATACACAGATAATAAATTCGCCCATTAAAATATTAAAAATTTTTCAAAAAAGATGAATGTAATGCAGGCTTGCTAATAATAGTTTTTAGCAAAGTCTATTCTTACAATTAAAAATAAAAAATTGTAAAGAATTGATTTAATGAAACCGTAATGGCGGAAGAATATTCATTTACTAACCTAATTCTATAATATCCCGGCGTACCCCCATCCCCATTTCGATGGAAAGACACTCGCCATTTTCGCGTGATTTCCATTGAACAATTTGAACTTCAATGGTTTGCACAATAAATGCCGCGAACAAAGTATAACAAATTCGTATAGCAAACGATTACCGTTCATTCTTGTTCCCATCCACACGTCAATCGCTTACCTAATGTAACAACGGCAGATGTAGTCGCCTAGATTGTAATTGCGTACTTACAGTCGATGAAAATACTTTCGTAAATTAACCTTGATAGACCTGGAAATCTATGTGCTTTGTCGAGTCCAAACTGTTAAATGGGGGTTTCCCAGCGGGGTGGTTGACTCTTGGCTACAGGTTCGGCCTCGCTGGATTCGGGTTAGGTCCATTTCTTAGTTTTGTCACGGGACTATGTTTCTTCACGCCTACCCACTTAGAATCCCAGCGGACAAACAAAAATGTCAACCGATTCCGAATCGCTGGCGCCCCGCTGTTAGCCACGCTACCGTTTTGGCCCCCCTGCTGTGTTTACGAGAGTTCTCACATTTCGACCGGCGACTATACGTTCGAGACGATACGAACAACGCGACGTTATATCCGATTGCCATTCAACAGTTATAATTCATCGAAAAAGATTAAAGCTATTTTGAAAATTTCGAAAAAATCCGCACTACAACGTATCTAAGTTTTAGACAAATTTTAAATGTTATTCTAAAAAGCGTCCAATTCCTTACGACACGACACTTCGAAAGGAATATAAGTTTGAAGTAAATCCAAAATGCTTTTACTAGAATAAGGAGAGCAATCGTATAACGAAATTGTAAGGGTTCTGATTTAAGCACTGAATCTTACTTTGAATAGTCTATTAAACAAAACTACAGCGCTTCGTAAGAAGGTACACGTGGCGACGGTTCAAGATACTTTTACGGACAAATGTAGAATCTTATTATGGAGAAACATATTTATGGTAATTATGCAGCAGGTGTCCCTGTTCAACTACGGATTACGAATCAATAGATACTATCGACTACTGCATTATCGATTTACGATTATGTACTTCTTTTTACAAAAGCGGCGCGAATATTTCAAATGATGGAAGCCAAACGCGAAATCCGCAAAATGAATATTTTCAAATATATTATGAATCCAAAGAATAAATTATTGGGTATTAAATGCATGTTATTAGTAGTACTATTTATGCAACTATGTGTATTTAATTTCCTGATGAAAACTAATCCAAACACGACTTTATGCGGATTATTTTTAATTATACAGTACAGTATTGTCTCTATAGAAGCGACGCTCTCGGGGCTCAACGCTCGGCTATATCGTGGACGAGAAACGATTCTTGATACTTTGTTGACGCCTACTGGAGGCGGCGAGTATAGAAAAGAACAGCGAGCATATGACAAAGAGGGACTGAGCGGCCGAGCATCGCCGAATTTGCTATCGCTTCCTTCGCTTCGGGTCGGCTGTAACGAAACACAGGCGATGTTTATGCGAGCCTATACGAAATCGGTGTTCTAATTCTGACCTCTACCTCTCTTGGTAGAGGTCGCAGAATGAAATACTGATTCTGTATAGGCTCGCGTAAACATCGCCTGTGTTTCGATACAGCCGACGTGGAGCCACTTGAGCGATGCATGCCTTTGATTTCTTATTGCGTTAGTAAATAGGACCTAAATTGTATATCGTATTTGGTGTCATTTTAATTAGAAAAGTGTCACGAATATGTTGATGAAGTTCGAAAAAAGGAAGAACAAAAATAAAGATAAATTTCGTTGTTGATTTAATATTGTATATGTACTAGTTAAATCGTGTCATAACTAAAGTACATAGTATCGCTCATTTACTGCAATAGTGATATGACTCAAAAAGATACAAACTTGCGAATTTGAACTGTTTAACCAACTTATTTTACTCTGAGTTCTCTCACGATCTCAGCAAATAAATGATAGGTCAATTAAATTACAATTCCTTTTTTCAGACGAGGATACACTTTAAAGAAAGGACAAATGTATATTATAATTTATGAAAAACAATAATAAAAATTATGTTGTACTTGATCTTAGTTAAATCAGAAAACTGTCACAGACATGTTAAAAGTTTTAAAACAAGAAAAGGAAAAATAAAAAATTTGACAATGCTCGACGACCGACCGTCAAACGGGCCGCTATCCTGGGGAACCGCCCATAGGAAGGCACACTCGCCGGTTCAGCGAGTGCTGGGTTCTAACGGTACGCAGTGGGGATAAGTAGAGGGGATACGATATTTGTCTATATCGTGGACGAGTTCTGAGCTTATATAGAGAAAATACTGTATTGTCTCTATAGAAGCGACGTTCTCGGGGCTCAACGCTCGGCTATATCGTGGACGAGAAACGATTCTTGATACTTTGTTGACGCCTACTGGAGGCGGCGAGTATAGAAAAGAACAGCGAGCATATGACAAAGAGGGACTGAGCGGCCGAGCATCGCCGAATTTGCTATCGCTTCCTTCGCTTCGGGTCGGCTGTAACGAAACACAGGCGATGTTTATGCGAGCCTATACGAAATCGGTGTTCTAATTCTGACTTCTACCTCTCTTGGTAGAGGTCGCAAATGAAATACTGATTCTGTATAGGCTCGCGTAAACATCGCCTGTGTTTCGATACAGCCGACGTGGAGTCACTTGAGCGATGCATGCCTTTGATTTCTTATTGCGTTAGTAAATAGAACCTAAATTGTATATCGTATTTGGTGTCATTTTAATCAGAAAAGTGTCACGAATATGTTGATGAAGTTTGAAAAAAGGAAGAACAAAAATAAAGATGAATTTCGTTGTTGATTTAATATTGTATATGTACTAGTTAAATCGTGTCATAACTTCAGTACATATATGTATGTATCGATCGTTTACTGCAATAGTGATATAACCCGAAAAGATATACATAACTTGCGAATTTAAACTGTTTAACCAACTTATTTTACTCTGAGTTGTCTCACGATTTCGGCAAATAAATGATAGGTCAATTAAATTACAATTCCTTTTTTCAGATGAGGATACACTTTAAAGAAAGGTCAAATGTATATTATAATTTATGAAAAACAATAATAAAAATTATGTTGTACTTGATCTTAGTTAAATCAGAAAACTGTCACAGACATGTTAAAAGTTTCAAAACAAGAAAACGAAAAATAAAAAATTTGTATTATTGCACTAGTGTTGCCTTAGTAATTTGAGCCCGTATCGTATGACAATGTTCGACGACCGACTGTCAAACGCGCCGCTATCTTGGGGAACCGCCCATAGGAAGGCATACTCGCCGATACAGCGAGTGCTTAGTTCTAACGGTACGCAGTGGGGATAAGTAGAGGGGATATGATATTTGCCTATATCGTGGACGAGTTCCGAGCTTATATAGAGAAAATACTGTACATTGTTTGAATCGTTTTTGAAACACTTCCAATGGCGGCAATAAAGTTTCCTTAACTGTGTTAACAGCTTTAATCAAATCCCCTTTTTGTCGTTAATTAATATTATCGAAAATAAAATTTTGTAAATCTTTTTATAAAAATTAAAAAATTCGTTATAATTCGATACATTTAATTACAATTTAATTAATTTTAATTACACCACCATAGGGACTGACAAGACAGTACGTGGTACTTTTGTTTCGAACTGTATGGTATAGATGGATCATTTATTGACGCCATTGCAATTGGTTATTATTTGTTATTATATCAGTCGAGCATGTCCAGCAATAGCCTTTAAAAGAAGTGTTCAAAATTTTCTCTACAAACTTTACTTCTTTGTTTCTATTCCTTGTAACTTCGAAAATGGCTGCTCCGAAGATCATCAGCTACCTATACAAAAAGAAACGCCAAACCTTGTCCGTTCCGACGATCCTGCTATAAAAATAATAAACATACATAATTGGAGAAAGATGTATCAAATTTTGAATCGTGGACAAAAGTCTGTATACTCTATAATTCGGAGCTGAAAAGAGTAGATCCGAAAGGTATGTTAGTCCAATTGGTCCAAGTGTTTACTCCGCCCTGGTCACGCCCACGATTAAACAAGATGTATGAAAAGTGTCATTCGTTGGTCGATGCATCACACTTTGACTCCTCCCTGACAGACAATCATTTGAACAGGGCCGTTGCCTCTGTTGGATCATTCCTCTTACCTCGCGATACTCTACGTGTTCTTTTTATCCCCGAGCCCTGAATTGTACACCCAACGACGTTCCCTTTGCGTATCAATCGATCAAAAAATATTTCGTGCATACTTGCTACCGTTTCGCGAGACGGGGAACTGTGAAACCGTGTAAGTTGTTCGAGAACGGCATTCAGCGTTTCCATCCCTCGTTGCGTTCTCTTCCTCGTCTTCTTCTCGGGCCAGTAACTTTTTATGGATAATCCAGAGCCGAGCCGAGCAGACCGTTGGAGGAGCTGCTGAATAGGCAGAAATCCCCGCGGCCAATGGGAGAGCCCGTTCGCGTCTGTGGGAGTGGCCCGCGATGGTGGGCGTGGAGACGACGTCACGACAAGGACGCGACGCGAGCCACACCCACCACGTGCATAGAAAGAGAAAGAGGTGAACCTCGTTGGACGCGGGTCACGCCCACAACGATGGAAATGGAAGAACGTCTTTGGGGGGTGGGTCGAGACGAGGAGCCACGAGTGGAAATAGTTAACGGCGAAACAATAAGGAGATTGCTGGTGGCCGGTATACGTTGGACGCGATTCGAGTCCGTGGCACGACGGAGGTGGAAATAGCTGTGCCGTAACCTGGCGGAAGGGGGAGCGAATGTATGTTTTTGCGTCTACGAGAAAGGATTAGTTGAATCACGAGATTGAGTACGCGTGCAATCGATGGAATTACGACGAAGAAAGACGGCATATTG